CTAAAGTATTATTTAATGTGTTAATAAAGGTTAATTCGTTTTTCTGTTTTGCACATCCTCATATTAATATCTTTGTACATCCTGCACTAAACTGTTTTATTGTAGAGATCACTTATAGTATCTTCTATATTTCTATCATTGACCTTCTACTTTCCCCCTATGAAAGTATGTACTCTTAATATTTTTTTGTCATCAAATATAACAAACAATAATTCAATAACGTGCTTTAACCACTAGGCGGTGCACACAAGGTTGACACAGCCATAATAACTTTGTATTATTAGTGTAGGACACTTATGTATGTACAACATCTCAAGATGTGTAGTTTTATTCATGCTTTCACATAATTTTACAGCATATTGCTATACTATTTCAGACTCAGTATTTACATTCTTATATTCAAAGAAAATCAGTAATATCTTTAAAAACTACAAGTCCTTTTATATCAGCTGTGCACCGTTATGGTGTAAATATAACCTATCTACGAATTAGATCAAATATAAAAGTCAGCCGAATTAGTGTTGATACTGCAAGGAGACGTATTGTGTGAAGAGAAATTGAAGATGTTGTTTAATTGTTGATATATTTATGATCCACGTCAAGTATTCAGTTTTGGTGGCATTTCTTCCAGTTTTTCCAAAGGTCTTCTCATCAGGGCTCTATAAATAAAGAACTACATCAGATCTGTAATATGTAATGCAGCCGAACCGTGTATTACAATGCCGTTATGTGATGACTTTCAAAGAGAAAAGCAAGAACACTCGGAATAAAGTATTATTTTCTTTTAAAAAAAAGGTTTTTCGGATTTGATATGGCATTAACACCATATCCCTACATGCATTGTGGCTAAAACATCCAATCAGCGAGCTTAAACCATAGCTGAGGATCTTGGGTAATCAGTTCAGTGGCTGTGTATCACAATGATGCTACGTCTATTTCCGGTTATTTTTATTTTGAAATTCAGTTCCTGACGAACGCCAAAAAAGCCCGAGATTATGGAATTAAACAAATAAATAAAAACAAGGATAATTGTGTGTTATTGGTGAGTAAATAACTTATGTTATTTAGAAAAGAATAACAAATTAGAAGGAAAAAAAGATTTTAAAAGATACAGATTTCAGTATTCTGAGGCTCTGAGCCCCATTTCTTTTCCTCACAGATGACAAAAAAAGTCAGACATTATACGATTTAAAATAAAAACAATAATCGTGGCTTGATATTGAGTAAGAACATGTTTTTATGAACCCCATAGCTTCCGGTCTTCCAAGATCCGAACGGATAAAAAGATGTGCTGCAGGCACGAAACACATTACCAATAGAAATACATTGCTTTTAAAATTGTTCTGTATGACACGAAAAAAAGCGGGAAATCGTGTTGGTGAACACGAATCAATAGATTAAATTTCGTGACTATAACACGAAATGCCGTGAGACTGGGTTGGATTACATCGTCAGGTAGCTGACTTAATCAAGAATTGTAAAACGATCGATTAAGTTTAGATAATATAAGCTATCAGCAGCAGAACAAACACACAGGATAGCCCGGAGGTGACAAAAACAACAACAAGGGGAAGTGACAACACGCTTACCGCAATAGTGAGGACTGTACAGAACCATTTCCCAGCTCTCCTGTGGGTTCAGTGCACATCTCACTGTTTGAGTAAAACCTCGGGCAAAGCCAAACAGTCAATTTCAGTGCCTTTACATAAAGCTGCACAACGTTTAGCTCGTGGAACAACTTTTATTTAATGTACTTATATAATAAATATCTGTTATTATTTTCAACCCGTAGTAGCAACGTGTTTCATCATGGTAACTGTTGTCAGTGTGTGCACGGGGTAACCAGGACAGTGCTTCTCTAAAGACGTTGCTGCTGAATATAAATATAATTATTTGTTTAAAACGACACTTAACTCAGCTAGGGTGGAGAGAGGTTTTTTACTTCTTATTTGAACTAAAATAGGAATATGGAATGACATACAGTATATTTAATCAGCTTTTAAGACTTTGGTCAGACACCACATTATGTGCGCCATAATTGTCCTATCCCATTTCTCTTTAATATGCTGTTCCTTTCACAGCACACATTTTCACTTGTCATGGAAGTGCTGCTAATGGCATTAATCATGGCTCCACTCTATTTAAGTGTCCTAGAAAAAGCACGACCAATCATCTGACGCCGGCCCGGCTAAAATAACTGGATGGCCTACCTGCCTGTCAGCCTTCCATCTGTGCACAAACTTATCTTGTGCCCTCATTGGTCATGTGCACGTTTGTGTGACGTGCAATCACCGGTAAATGCACTTTAACACAGGGATATCTCCTCTTGCACTTTATATGTCCTTGCTGCTATATTGTATTACCATGTCATAAATACTTGTGTGTTCTGCTCTTGCTCTTTTGCACCTTTTGCATATCATGTATTTTGTTTTTGCTATGTTTGTAAAATGTAATTTTCTTAAATGTTTTATGTGAGGGACTGTGGATGGAAATTAGCTCAAAGCTAAATCTGGCACTGTTACGCTTGATACATTTGAATGTTTTAAGTGTTCATTACTGTGCATTGTCCCTGCCAAATAAACGATTAAATAAAATAAATAAAATGCTCAATTTAAATAAGTTTGAGTTTCTTTTTTTTTTAAAGCCAACAATCTGGAACATTGTAAATGCGAGGATTTAAAACACGAAAGAACAACTGATTATTCAAAATAGAGCCATTGCAATCATAGAGGAAGAAAAGTGAAGCACCACACCATCTGAGTCAGAGACAGGGAAGATTGAAAGCTTGAAAAATCAAGCAGATTGAAGATCTTCAAGTCCAAGTCAAGACCAAGTAATGTCATCACGAAAAGTTTGAAACGTGATAGCAGCACCATATATTAAAATATAAGGTCAAATGGTGAAAAAAACATGATATCATTGTATATAATTATGTTTATAGAAATTAAATATTTGCAAAGAAACACTGGAAGTAAGTATGACATGCAATTGACAGAGTGCACAAGACAGCAGGTGATATGAAAGCATGTTATGCTAAGTTCATGTCTTTTTCTTTTGCTCATCTTACTGAGGTTCAACTCCAATGCAGTTACTTCAGACTGTAGGGGCCTAATGATCCTATCAGCAGTGAGCTGAAGGGCCCTACTAATTTCCCATGTGTGTGTCACATATTAATATTAAAAGTAGATTTTGACTAGTGGCCCCTCGACTATGCAGGATTACGGACATAAAAACGGAAGTCCTTTCGATTTCCATTTATATGAACCGATTACTCAAATAACTCCATACCAAAGTCTGCATTTTTGGCCTTTGGCTAAACCAGCCTCAGATAAAACACTCCACTCAGAATTATGTGGGCAGCGTACCTGTGCTGCTGTAGAAAGCCAGTCTGGAAGAGGTGTGGAACTTCTGGATGAGGAACTGAGACAGAGAGATCCTGTCGTCGGTGCTCAGAGACTCATCACCGCTCTTCCAGTACAGCATCAGGTCTTCATCTGTGTAAGCATCTGAAGGAGAGAGCAGGGATGTAAGTGTGGCCTGTACCAATAATAACTTTACCCCTGATACTTACAAAATAAATATGCAGTTTGGCCTTGTGGATTTATTGTTTATCAGTGCATCTGTTTGCCTTTTCACTTTCCATTAGTGAACTTGATCTTTTTGAACCCTTTCAGAATCTTGAATTCACCTCCCTACACTCCAATTGCAATTAATGTGAAGAGAACAAGTATTTAGTGTCTCTCCTGTGACATGTCTCCATGCTTTAATGTTCAAAAAGCTCTTTATTTTTCTCATACTGCCTGTGCTGCAGCACCTCTTTTCACCCTCTGTCTGAAACCAGAGCCCAATCTGCTCTGATTGGTTAACTGGCCGGCTCTGTAGTGATTGGTCAACCGCTTAGAGATGTCCCACCCCTTAGCCCAGGGATCACCAACTACATTTTTCCAAGGGCCAGAATGTATTCAATAGACACTTTCGCGGGCCAGTGATTTTTATATATAGCCCAGAATTTTGAAGTTGTTGACGGGGGGCGGGCGCTCAGGTACTGCGGAGCGCATAAAGCTTAGCAGTGTCTTCACGCTAACGAAGGATCACTTCTAGGCTACTGTCCCGCAGCTGCTGCCTCTCTGTTGGACTCGGGTACTGCACATTACTCACGAGACGTTGTAAAAAAAAAAATGATTGGGGGGCGAACGCACTAACCACTCCGCCAACGCCACAGTAACCCCCGTCGTGCGGGGTGGATGAGAATGTCTGGCGGGCCGGATGTGGCCCGTGGGCCACCAGTTAATGGTCACTGCCTTAGCCTTTCACGTACAGTGTGTTGGAGCGCTAGCCAATAGAACGCTAGTGTTCAACAGTGATGTTACTATGTTACTGACAAAGGAGTCCATCGGAGGCAACAAAGAGATTTGAGCATTTGCAGACCATTTACATGCATACAAACCTACAGAACACACTAAGCAGGGGTGCCCAACATTTTTCAGCTTGGGAGCTACTTTTAAAATGACCAAGTCAAAGTGATCTACCTACAGGGCCTTCCCAAAGTCATGTGGTGAGGCCCTGTGTGTCGCGAGCGA